AAAAAAAAAAAAAAAAAAGTGCTATTCCATATAATAATTTTATTTGTTGCATACAATTATAGTCAAGGGGCACAAGAAAGAATTTAATTATAAAACCATAATTTAGCCTAAAAATGTAAAGGGAAGAAAAATAAATTGTACATTTGGTGAGGCCTTGCAAAGGGATTTATTTTTTCAGAGAAATAATAATCCCCATAGTTTAGATCCAAGTCACATTTAGATCCAACATTTTGAATCCAAGTTGGATCTAAAATGTGAGAGAAATTCACACAACAGGACATCTGACATGGTTTCACTTATTCAATTAAAGAACCATAATGTAGCCATCAACCCTGTAGCTTCTGATCTTAAAATGAAGATATTACTCATAAAAGATTTTTTTGTTGTAAGAAGTTTGTTGCCAAAATACATATTAATAAAATTACAGCACAGATCTTTCTACTAAACATCTCAAGACAACATATCATTTCAAACTACATTTTCATTAGCACCCAGTAAAAGTGATACAGTTATGAAGGTTATTTTCTGGTACAGAAGTCCAGATTATTTATTTTTCAGATAATTTTTATAGTATGATTACATGATGACTTTTTGTTTGTGTAATTTTTAAAATGAGTTTTTTCAAGAAATGATTTATACAAAATAAAATGCAATTATTTTACATGTACAGTTCAATGAGTTTTGACAAATGTATACATTTGTGTATCCACCTCAATTAAAACATAGAACAGTTTCATTACCCCCAAAAAAGTTTCCTCATATCTTTTTTCAGTCAATATTTCCCTGATGCCCAGTCTCAGACAAACAGTGATCCATTTTCCTGTCACTATTGATAAGTTCTTCCTGTCTTATAATTTCATATAATGGAACATCCATGTTGCTGCATGTATCTATACTATTACTTCTTCTTATGGTGAGTGCTATTCCAATTTGTAAATATCCTACAATTTGTTTATCCATTCACTTGCTGATGAACATTTTCAGTTGCTTTCAGGCTATGCCAGAAGAGTAAACCTATAAACATTTATGTGTAAGCCTTTTTTATGGACATGTTTTCCTTTTCTCCATAAATACCTAGAAATGTAACTGCTGTATAGGCGAAGTGTATGTTTAACTTATTAAGAAAATATCATTGCAAAGTGGTTTATCAGCAGTGTATAAGATTTCCAGTGGCTCCACATCCTAGAAAACACTTGTATTCTCAGTCTTTAATTTTAGTAATTCAAGTAGATATGTAGTGGTATCTTGTTGTGGTTTTAATTTGTATTTCTCTAGTGAAAATGATGTTTAGTATCTTTTCATGAGTTTATTATTATTTTTTGATGTCTGTTCAAACACATATCTTGCCCCTTTCTGATAGTGTTATCTCCTCTTTATTGAATTTTAAAAGTGCTTTATATGCTCTTGATATGAATCCTTTGTCGGATACATATATTATGAATTTTTTCTCCCAGCTTCTATCTTGCCTCTCCATTTTTTAAAAAAACGTTCAGGAGTACATGTGCCAGTCTGTTACACGGGTATATATGTGATGGTGAGGTTTGCTCTTCTATTGAAACCTATCACCCAAATAGTGAGCATGGTACCCAATAGGTAGTTTTTCAACTCTTGACCCCTTCGCTCATTCTTTTCCTATTTGACTTCCTCTTTTTTTTTTTATGAGTTGAAGTCTCACTGTCACCTAGACCGGAGTGCAGTGGCCGCT